GTCAGCGGATAACTTCAAAAAGATATTCGACCTCGATGGTTCGACACCTGAGCCCGCGATACGGTCAGGTGATACTGGTCAGCGGATACCCTGTTTTGACAGCTGTCAATTGGTCACAACATTGATGTGCAATATATGTGTACAATATCAGTCTTCCTGTGCTCCCAAACTGGCTAGAAAGTGTGAGGATTAAACACCGGTTTCCCTGTGGTGCGGACGGACGGGCGGTCGGTGTACGGTCACGTGATTACCAAATTTCCTGGGATGGGTAGATTTACTTACCCATGGTGCTCCTTTTCACCTAATCGACTAGCATTAACAAAAAGGTAACAATTTTGCATTTTGTTCTATGAAAAATGAATGCAGGAAGTTAATTTTTCTGCTCTTTTCAAGTAGCAGAGTTGATCTTTTTGTAAAAAAGTAGAATTGGCGGAACCTTTCACTGATTAGAATGTTCAAAAAAAGCGCGATTGAAAATTCAACGTGAAAACGAGGCACGCATGCCCGTAAGACTCGCACCTCCAGAGCGAGGCCATTCTCGTCCCCAGAGCCCGTCGTTTCTTGGTCACGTAGTCGGTTACAAATTAAGCCGAGCGACTCTGGGGACGAGAATGGAGCGAGGCAAAATGCGTGCAAACGAGTGATAAATTATTTATAATTTATTTTGCTGTTTCTAATTGTTTCAAATTACGCTTCAATGTTTGGAGCGCTAATAATTTTAATAAGACATCTTTGAATCTCTTACGAAAGGAAGACAGAGAGAATCATCTACCACTTTTCCAGTATTTACGACATTTAGTTTAGCGCAGGCGATCATCTTTGTTCTTTCGGATATTTTAGGTCAATGGAATGATTCCTCATCTTGCCTGAACCGTAATTTCATTATATGAGAAACCAGGGATTGATCATGAAAACCAGCAAATTTCAGTACAAAACCGCTCACGGAAACGCAATGGAAACGAGCTGACACGTTTAAGTCAACGGAAGCGCTGCGGAAACTCGAAACAATGCCTCCATTTTCATCTTACACGTTTTCCGTCGAAATCGTCCTGCGGAAACGCAACCGAATTTTGAACCATCAGGTTTCCGCAACATTTCCGAATTGCGGAAACACCTTATTACTCTTTTTTTTTTTTTGAAACTTGCCAATGCTGACATGCATCTGACGTATCGTGCTTGCTGAATGGGCGAAAACACAGAATTGTGATCACAAGATCATGTACAAATTTAATGATAAAAGCTTAGTGAGATACAGATACAAACAAAAGCAAACCCTCTGAAACCTCGACCTGGGCTACACTTGTATGCTCTACTCAGTCACCAAACCTTGTCAGTAATAGCTTCTACTTTCCTCAAGTCGGTCTTTGTGAAGCTCCCAGATGGGATGTTCCGGTGAAGCTTTGAACTTGTGTACGAAATTCTCAGAGTTCCTATTTTTGTCCGTGTCTTCTTTACCCTCAGTATCCAAAATTTAGACCTGCAAAGTGGCGTGTGTCACATTAAATAGAAGGAAATATTTAAAGGAAAAGCCAGTCTTCTAACATGGCAAAGTTGTCACGTCCCTCGCTCATAGACGTGCGTAACATTAGGATTCATCTGACATTCATCGGCAACTGAGTTGTTCGCTTCACTGAGTACGACAGCTTACAATCAAGTCTTCAGCCATAGTGTCGTCAACTGGTGAATACTTTGCTCATAAATTGTGCTTAATTGCTCATGTACTACATCGATCGATAATTCTCTCTGTGAGTTCACGAAACGGCCCCGGCGTTCCAAACCTGACGCTTACAGTCATCTTTTAGTGTGAACCTACCGTGAACGGCGTGTGGGTTTGTATGCAACGTGAGCATTTCTCTGAGTTTCCCAGCGCCAACATCATCAACTGACTTAAACTCGAACAATTAAAACAATTTATAGAGTGACTCCTATGAACGAATCGCTTCGAACAACGCAAATAGCCTTCTTTAGATAGGTTCTCAACGCCTTCTGGGTTTCTGGGGGGTGGGGGCGTGGAGACGAGGTACAAAAAGTATTCGTGCAAGGGTCCGTGCAGGGGAAAATTCTATGAAACCATTTGTGAAAACATCGTTTCTCGGTACCAGACCATCGTGTCTTCCCTCCCCCGGGAGGCCGTTTTTCTACACAGACGATCGAAAACCGAATTTATAACTGGGCCGCACAGGCAGCCCCGTAAAGAGCTGACCATTCATGTTCACACGAGAGACTTGTTGGCTTGCCTAACATACCATAAATATTAGTCGGTACAACATAGGAATGTGAAAGGAACGTGAACAGATCGAGAACAAAACCGCCTACACGGTTAAAAAAGTGCCGCTGATTTGCTACTTCTAGCAAATCTGAGTAGGAGTGTCCCTCTCGGTTCTCCAAATCAAGATCCTATTTTAGACCAAGAAATGTCATTTTCCACGCCCGTTTTAGGACCTTGCTTCCAAAACCCAGACCGGCTTTCGGAGGTGAAATAATTTAGATTAGGCGCGAACAAAAAATATTTCTTAAGATCCATTTCTCCTAACGTTCTTATGATTTGGCATTGAAACGACTAATACGACAATCCCTCGAGAACCATACCCCATTCCAGATCTAAATGTGCAAAGTCCATACCCGTTGGTAGACAAGAAAAGGCGCAAAATCCATACCCTTTGGGGTGGCACACAACTGTACATGTCTTACATAAAGGAGTAGCACCCCCGAGGATGTGACACGTTTGTGGACAAATGCAATGATCAAGTTTATGTGATAATTTATCTGGAAATGTAGATCTAAATGTCAGTTGTATAAAGGACTTATTAGGGCCATTTATACGAGGAAAAATAAGACGCGTCTTACATAAGACGCGAACTGTACCATTTATACGAGCATGTCTTATCTAATAAGACGCGTCTAAGCTAAGCCGCGTCTTACTAGACGAAATGTGCCGTTTATACGGAAAGTTCGCGTCTTATTTAAGACGCGTCTTATGTGAGACGCGTCTTATTTTTCCTCGTATAAATGGCCCTATTGTGTTTTTTCTCCCCTTTATAATCAGTCTGCGCGATGTCACTATCCATACTTTGTAAAGGCTTTTTTTGTTTCAAAATTCTCTTTTCTTCCTCAGATTGCACGGAGTGGCTGAATTGATAAACCAACCGATGGATAAGATGTTGAACTCGGAAAAAGAAGACACTAATGTCGAAAGAAACAATAATCCATTCGATGTATTGGGTAAGAAAAGATACCTTATATCATATAATCCAAAAATTAAAACACAGAAGGTTCCGTAGACTGTTGCCCCGGTTTTTTTGTTGTTGTTGTTTGTTTGTTTGTTTTTTCCTACAAAGTCCTTCGGGTGGCTTGCCACCAGTTGCTTGTGTTTTGTTAGTTGCCACGCGAACGACTTCGCAAGTGTTATGGTATAACAGCCCGAAGGGGAAGAGGGGTACTACCTATAATGGCTGGCCTGCAAAAGCATCCGTTTTTCCTCACTACGTCGCCGCTGGGGACGTTTCGCGCGGAGGAACGTCTACGACTCAGCGACAGAAATTCCATGATCGTGCCATATAGTCCGGCGGCATCGCTCAAAATTTCGGTTGAATCGGCACTTTTAGAGAACAAGCATGAAATTTGGCACCCTGGTAGTAGTCACCAATACAAGGATTTTCAAATGTAGTGCCAAGCCGGAATTACGTTGGTTTCCATAGAAACTACAATTAATTAAAATTCATGAAAATTCCATGAAATTCCTTTTTCCTAGTTTATCAAGACACAGTATCATTTCAGTCAGTATAACACCAATCTGTTTACTGCGTACGTCTTGTTTGGATGTTTAGATTTAGATAGCCAAGGGCCTTTCAAAGAGATGAGCGTGTAGGATGTTATGGGTTTTTTGTCTGTCCCATAGGCACCCAAAGTTTCTTCAAGTCTAATTAATCCTGTTCCAGCTAGACTCTAAGATGGTGGGGAAAACGAGAGCGCGAAAGTTCGAATCATAATTGATTAATGACCATTTTCTTCTGCATCGGCTACATGAACTTGCATTTTCACGTCCTCTTCTTCTCCATGCCAACAGAATCGTAGCTGAGCGTGTCCGTTTGCTGCCCGTGGATTTCTACTGGCATTTTTCTTTTCATCATGCCATCCAGTTTCATCCTGTTGAACGCATTGCGACAAGATCTATGACACATAGCATACGACTTGCTTATGTGTAAGCAATTCTATTTCAAACGTCAAAACATTTACCAGTCAATTGCAAAATTTAATACCCCCGCCCCCGCGCCGCCTCATAAAATTACGTCTTGTACAAAACTCAAAGTAAGGTATCTAGCACAAGAGTAGTGCCGTTCCAGTTAACAGGGCAGGCTACACAATCTGTTGTAGTCATCATTTCAAGCAGCTAGATAATGTATAAAAAACCATTATCAATTTTTCTCTGCGATGTTGCAATTGTGTGTTGATTTCCCTTAAGTGCAGGACATCGATTTAAGTAAGTTAATTCATGTTTTGTAGGCTGTCTCCATTGTGACTTGTGAACACACAACGAGTTTTGTCGTCAGTAACCTTTAGACTGCTAAGGTATCCCCTGACTGGAGGTGAAACCAGGGTTTGGTCCCAGAAAAAGTGGCCCTTTACCCTGAATAGAGGTTTCCCTTCAATAGAGGTAACAAATACAGAGATTATGTGAACATTTTTCCGGGACCAAATTTTGTGTCCCCCGAATGGAGGTGTTACTTGAATAGAGGTGTCTCAAGGGGGAGGTTCCACTGTAATTTGTCAAAAATGGTATGTAAACAGGGTAAGGGATCGGACCTTGGGGCAGAGCCTTCCCGTACGCAGGGTAACAGAATGTTCTGGAAAAAATAAATAGAATAAAACCCTGCATTCAGTAAGTTACGAAAAATCTTCATCACATTTAACGTTACTCAACAGAAAGAAATACAGAAACATATCACAGGGGACAGACACGGACACTGGACTGTTATTCATTAAGGCTCTCGCTCTTCTTTGCAGATCATTATCGAAATATTGCAGGCAAGTATGACTACTTCTACAAAGAAGTTCACCAAGGTTACATTCCCATCCTAATGCAATGTTTGGACTTAAAGCCAGAGCACGTGGTCGCTGACATTGGCAGTGGAACGGGTGCCATTGCGAAAGATCTCTTTGAATTGTCAGGTCTTTACAATCCTATTTGGTGTGTTGACCCCAGTGTGGAAATGCAAGAAGTTGCTCGACAAAAGAAAGGGGTTAACTCGATTCTGAAAACAGCTGAAGAATTTTTTTCGAATCCGCAAATTAGCGAGAGGTTTGACCGAGTGATAGCTACTATAAGTGCACATCATTTTGTAAACGTCGATGCTGTTTTTGAGGGAATACTCCGTAGTCTACGTCCCGGTGGTTTTTTCTTGCAATTCAACGCCATCAAGAGCACTCTTCCGTCATTTAAAAGTGCAAAAATGCTTCTTAGCCAATGTTTTGAGCGAGAGAGCGAAGTCAGCGATCTATTGCTGAGAAAAATCGGTTTGAATGGAAAAATTTCTGAGGAGGAGTTCTCCTTTTCGGCGGGGATAAAGAAATCCAAGCTGTACGAACGATATCGATGCCGTTTTGTAAGTTTATTTGAGAAATTAAGCGATGACCAAATTGAAGAGGGAATAAACGAGTTAGACAATGAACATTTTCAAAATGTCAATGATGATGAACTCATCAACTACGAATGCACAGTGCTTGCATGTGACAAAAGTAGAGAAAGTAGCTTGAAATATCCTTGATACACATGGTACAGTGTCATTTTAGTGGCTTCTTATATGATAGTAGATTGTAGGGTTTCACTGTAACAGTTGCACCATCAAAAATCAAAATTAAATCCTTCGATAGATAATGTTAAGAATGTGGGAAGCGAAAGGAGAACCATAACTGTATTGCATTGTATTGCCAGCATTACATGGTATTGTTTCGTATACTACTTATACTATTGTATTATATCGTATTGCATATCGTATTTTATTAAAATCCAGCTAGTGGTCTATTATCAATGCTGCGTTACGTTCTGATTGGTTGAGCTACTACTGGGCTCAGTAAATATCGACCAGAGGTCTACAAAAGCGAAAAAACGAAAATTCTCCAAAAAATTCACAAAGTAGCACTGGGTAAGCTATTAACACAAATGTAATTTTTACTTCGATCCGATAATTATTTTCCACGTACGGGGGGGAAGGGGGGGGGGTTATTGGTTTCGCGGCTCTCGGACCGGGTTTTCCAGGCCCGAGACCATGTGTCACAAAAAAATCGTTTTAAAATTCAGATCCATTGTAATGAGGACAACAAATAACTTATTCAGAAGAGTACATAATTGCACACATTTTAAGTGGTGATTTACTCAGTTTGAACGAGAATGAAATATTTTGGGGATTTTTCATTAATTTCAATATTTTGAACGCTTTCGTTCAATGGAAAAATGGCAAATTTCAAAGCCCCAAATCGTCGACTGGTACCTCGATTTCTGTAACGTGTCTTATACCAGGTTAAAGAGGGTTATCTCTTCTTTCAAAATCTGTTTCCAAAAATATGGGCAACTTGAAAGAAAATTTTTGAGGCCAAAAGATACAAGTAGTACTTTTCTGAAATTTGAGCTTTCCAGACTCAGCGGGCCGATGCTAAAAACTCAGAAAAATGCAATAAGAAATCAGTTTGAGCAACAGTGGTTTAACGTTATCACCTACCAGAAACCAACACGTGTTTATCGAGCGATCTGATAAAATTTAAAGCCGTTTTCCAACAAGAAAAGCAGAGTTTAGCCATCTTCTGTTACCAAACGCACGAGTCACGTAAGGTTGTCAAAGGGCAAAGCACAATAATAAACTTCAAAAAGCGCAACGCTTCTGCGTCCTGAAATTAGACTTTACCGGACAGAGCAATGCCTACGAGCGTATGTTTCATACCTTAACATAGGCTTCCTAGATATTGGAAATAAGAAAACATCAAGGACAGCATCGGTAAGGGCATCTCTGGCTGCTCTCAAACGACGGAGATTGCGTTACTTTTCACAGATTGACCGCTTACCACCTGTTTTTGGGCTCGCATTTCGACGGAACGCTTGCCTCGAGAGCCGCGCGGCACGGATTTGAACTCTTCTTCACGAGACATTGAACTGAATTTATCGGAAATATGCCACCACCACCAACAACACGAGCGTTTTTCGGGTATTTGTCGTTTTTTATACGAAAAGTTCGGGTAAGCAGATTCACGCAAAAACCATTTGGCTTAAAAAATGTGTTTAAAAGCCCGCCCTGGATTTGAAGCAAAAAGTATTTCCTCGAAATAAGCTAAAAAATACCCAATTCACGCGGTGAAAAAATAGATGATTATGGAAGGATTATCAAATTCTTGCCTAACCTGAGGGATTTCCCAATTTCTCGTGATGTAGTATTAGGGGTAGGAAAAAAGCCCATAACCTACTCCTGTCGTTGTGAATTTCCTAAAGATCAAAAATTTCAGTAAGAACCGAAAAAAACAGCTTAAAGGAGGTGCACACACCCTGACCTAGCCAGAGAAAAGGGGCTTCTGATTGAGCTAAACTGTCATTGATGCGCGGTGCAATTAGTTAGACCTGTTGTTATCCCCCGCGCAACCACAGGAACAAGTCCAGCCATTTGGGCCCGGGGGAGGGGAGTACTTTGAAGCGGTCCTGTCGGGGACTTTCGGGGGTAGGGGGCGGGGCAAATCGAAAATAACTTCTCTTTGTTTTTGTGAAGTACATCATTTCTCGCACGGTTGACAAGGTGACGGCGGACTCCGTAGCTGTGGAAAGGCCCTTTTGAAACATGTCCCGGCAACATGCAGGGCATCACGAAATTGACATCAACACCTTGAATCAACTCCATGAACAGGGAGAGGCGATAAGTCCCATCTTAAAAGATGCTTGATGTCTAGCTTGATGTCTAGACGTGAATAGTCTGTCCGCAGTCATTTTTCATTTTGTATATCGGGACCATTTGATAGCGCACGAGTGAACCGGAGCGCAGTAACGAGCCCTAACCCCACCCAATTGCCCTTGCGGTCAATAAATCATCGCGTTTTTCACTTTTTTTTATGTGCGTTCGAGAACCTCCAAAGGGAATATTGAGGGTCTTTGTACAGTTTCAGTTTATTTTACCGATAAAAAAGAACAAAACAAAGCAAAAGACAAGTATATATACAGAAATACGCAGAAGCAATGTGGTGAGGAAGCCCAAAAAGAAACCATAAGGCTTAGGTCATCCCCTTTTCATTCGTTTAGCGTCGAATAGGCCTAGGTTTCCTGGTTTTGGCTGGGTCGGTCGGTGGGGTGAAAAAAAATCACAAGAAATCTGAGAACAGGAGGCCTAAAACACCAGCATCATTGCCGTGGAGCCTGAAAACAACAAGACATGGTCACCAAATCGACACAAACTCAATATGGCGGAAAATGTGACGGTCAGTTTCACAAAAAAAAGGCCCAAAAAGGGTAAAAAGCAAAAAGGATACACCACCGAACGTTTTATGCCTGGAAATGCTGTTATAATGCTCATTTTTTAGATTAAAAGAATTAATATAAGTCCAAAAAAAATAAACCTTGTCGTTTCTTTTTCTTGCTTTTTTAAAAAATGCCAAAAAACTGGGTCTGTTGGACGGCACTAAACGAAAAAAAAAATTAATATCTATAGGTATTAAGCTCCCTTTAAGTATAAAAGTATAAGTTTACAAGGACAAGGATCGAACGTACACCGAGTAATTAAGTGATAAAAATTTGATCAAAATTAAATGAAAGGCTAAGAGTTTAAGCGCTGTCTGATAACGAAACGGTAAACAAGAAGTGCTGCCTGTCATTTAATAGAGACATGAAATACTGGGTGGACCACATCCTGAACTCCTGGGAAAACCGCAAGAGAGGAACGCTCAGGGCTAAGGAGACTAAACAGGGGCGTAGCTGTAGCTACTTGTACGCACGGTTCGCACGTGCATACCCGAAAACGTTGAGGAGAAAAAATAGAATGAAATAAACATAACTAAAAAAATCGGTTTCCAGAGAAGCGCCGACATTAATTGGAGAACCGAATCATGGATGATTTATTTATATAGCAAGCTTGATGATGTAAAGCGTGAACGCATTGTTTTCTCCACGACCTGTCTTCGGAGTAGACGAAGTAGGGCACAATTACTTCAATGTGTGGTGCTTTTGTCGGTCAAAAATAATATGACAAAAAGGGGTAAAAAGAGTCATTTGTAAACTAAAGTCGGTGGTACTACAAGCTTGATTTTTAATAGCTGAATTAATGATAAACGGTTGACGTCAATGAACATAACAAGCCGACAGAATTAAAGAATTTTAGAGGTTGTGTCATTTCATAAATAGCAAAAATGATTTGCTTACAACTGTTAACCCCACCTTTAATAAAGGCACCTTAAAAAAATGTTGATATTTGGGGTGGGGGGGGGGGGAAGACGATGTAGAAAAAGTTGGGCGTCCCTCCGGAAAAATCTTGACTACGCACCTGCTAAAGACTGAAACTGAACAACAGGAGTCTTGACGAAAGGTCCTCAGTTATCATCTGTCTGGGGTCGTACTTTCAAGGAAGCGCTGATCAAGAATCACTCATGGCGGAATGAAAAAACGCCTCGTAGCTTCCGGCGAAAAAAGAAGTGACAACAGTGGTAAGCGGTCGTTCTGTGAAATGTAACGCAATCTTTGCCGTTACGATCTTTCGGCGCTTGGATTTAATGTATCGGTCAAATCGAAGCTTCAACATGCCCCCCCCGGCATACCCCGGGCATTTGACACCTTTGCCGTCCCGGGGAGGAGGGAATTTGATTATCAGAGTCTTCTAGGGGGTGGGGAATTTGATCCCCATGCTTTAGGGGTGGGGAATTTGAACTGCACCCTCGATTTCATGTAAAATCTTTGGCGTGGCGAGCTACATGGGGGACGCGGTGTTAGAGGATTTTCGTGGAAAAGATTGTGCCTTTGTGGCCAATTGTTTACGAGGAAAGGGCTTAAACAAGCTTTGTGCCGTATTTGAAGTATTTAAATTTAAAAATTTTTAATATTGGATTCAGGCTTTGAATGTATGAATGTATTTTATTGTTGAGTTTAGAATGAAATACAACACCTATACCGGCGATTCAATACAACAACATAAAATAAAATAAAAAGCTCAGGTCAACTACTTTTACCTACTGTAATTAAGTATGTTAATTAATAAGATGAGCGATGATGCATGTCAGTGAAATGGTCATGATCTAGTAATCTCAATAGGTGGGATCTTTTTTTATACAACGCTTTGTATGTTGCATGACGAAGAAAAGCTGAGCATTCAGTGACCTTGTAGCAGCGATTTCCGCCGCTTTGCACGAGACTTTTGTTCGTAGTAAATACGCTAACCGTGTTTCTCAGTTTTTGTTATATTTATAAAGATTTTGTTCGACAACTGAAGGCGTTTCCGCCGTCCTTCTGTCATTTTTGTGCCTGTAAAATGTCCCCGGGGTGGGGGCATTTGATCACCTGAATGGACCCTAGTGTGGGGCCTTTGAACGACATCTTGGCCCGGGTAGGGGGGAATTTGAACAAAAAATTTCAAAAAAGTCAAATGCCCGGGGGGTTGCCCGGGGGGGCATGTTGAAGCTTCGATTTGACCGATACATAAAACGTTGTTGTTTGGCATGTTCTCCCGTGTGGATACTTGACATTTCCAATATATGGAAACACCATGCTAAGACATTCACAACATTGTTTTGAACGCTAAAAATTGATTTCATGGACGTAAAACATTTTGAATTTTAAGACGTTTTAATATTAGTGCTTTGCCCTCCCTTTGACAACTTCACGTGACTGGTGCACTTGGCAGGAGTTGACAGCTGAAATCTGCCTTTCTTTAGAGCAAACGGCATTAATTTATATCAGATCGCAATATGAACACGTCTTGGTTTCTGAGAGCTGATAACATGAAATCACTGTTGTTCAAACTGATTTCTTATTGTGTTTTTCCGAGTTTTTAGCATCGGCCCGCCGAGTCTGGAAAGCTCAAATTTCAGAAAAGTACTACTTCTATTTTTTGGCCTCAAAAATTTTCTTTTAAGTTGCCCATAGTTTTGAAAACAGATTTTGAAAGAAGAGATAACGCTCTTTAACCTGGTATAAGTCGATATAAGACTCGCTATAGAAATCGAGGTACCAGTCGACGATTTGGGGCTTTTGAAATTTGCCATTTTTCCATTGAACGAAAACGTTCAAAATATTGAAAATAATGAAAAATCTCCAAAATATTACACTCTCGTTCAAACTGAGTAAATCACCACTTAAAATGGGTGTAATTATGTACTCTTCTGAATTCTTGGTTTGCAACCACGTGACAAGGCGGCCATGTTGGGGGTCAAAACAAAAGAATATTTCCTCGAAGAATTTACATGAAAATAGAGTTTAGTTCCCAGAGGAGAGAAATGCTTTTGTTCTTGACCACCAACATGGCCGCCGTGACGTCACGTGCAAACCAGCAATAAGTTATTTGTTGTCCGCATTACAATGGATTTGAATTTTAAAACGATTTTTTTTGTGACACATACTCTGGGGCCTGGAAAACCCGGTCCGAGAGCCGAGAAACCAATAACCCCCGTACGTGGAAAATAATTATCGGATCGAAGTAAAAATTACATTTATGTTAATAGCTTACCTAGTGCTACTTTTTGAATTTTTTTGAGAATTTTCGATTTTTCACTTTTGTACACCTCTGGTCGATATTTCCTGACATCCGCTCTTAACAATTATTCCACGAGGGCGCGTTGGATATGAGATGATAGATAGCAAACAAGGCGCTTAGCGCCGAGTTGGCTATAGGTGTTTTTGTTGTTAAACAACCATTGTTCTAAATTCTGTCTCGTACCTTGAACTGCATTTTTAATTTATCCTCTGAGTTTTGCAATCACGTCCGTGGTTAATTTATTGAAAAGTTCTAGCCAATCATCTTCGATGGTTTGATGCTAATGAGACTGTTTTAACCAATCGGATTAGACTTACATCAGCATTCGGTTTGCGCTAAGCAGCTGGTTTCCTGGCTGATATAAAAATGGGCATAACACTGATTTAGCGCAGGGAATTGTAAAATAGGAGTTGGGCTAACTTCGTGACATTGGACTAAAGAATTAAAAGGAGATAATTGAAAAAAATAATCGTCCGTTTGTTGTGAGAACCAGCTAGTTCCCAAAAAAGGTTCTTCGACAACAATCTGATGGTCTCGAGGTCGTCCGCATAGAAAGATTTATACTTTCCTACAAAGATCTTGAAGCCAGAAGGCCGCAGTTGATGTGATCACTTTCCTCCGACACCACTTGAGAAACGGGTGCTGAAAACCGTTCAGTGGAATGTTATTATTATTATTATTATTATTAATGTTGTTGTTGTTGCCGATGCTGATATACACTTAATGTCAGTTCCCGAGGGAAACAGTTAGTTTTGTTTTCCCGAGAGTCCTGATGTTTCCCGAGACGAAACTTTCACGCGCCTTCGGCCTTTGCCACAAACACGACAAACTAGGATTAAGCTTTGATAAATACAATTCAAAAGTTTTTACTGGACAGTACGGACTATTCGGTCTTTCATACATACGGCCTTCACCTGGAGAATCATGTGGTTGATCCTTTCCCCTGTAATTTTTGTCCAGTTCATCAAGTGCTTGATATACGTACTTCTTACCAGTTGCATCAGCCTGCACGGCAAACGTCTGTTTTGTAAGAAGACGGAGATTTTCTCTCCCGCGGCGAATTAGGTGGAACATGAGATTAAACCAAACCACTTGCTGGAGGGATTTAGGATCTGGAGAGGATGGATTGTAGCAAGACTGAATTTTTTCTAGATCCTCCTTTGATATCGGCCTGTGGTGATCAACTCTGCCAAATCCACAGGCGGCCCAGACGTAGTATGTGTCACTGAATGAATATATTAATATCCACATGGACAAATTAATGCGATGAGTCGTCGAAACTCCCATGGACTAAAATAGTCTAAAAGTCAAAATATAACAAAACAAAGCTAAGACACCTTCAACTGAACGTATCCTTGTCCTTCCTGGCCGGTTTAAGTGGCATTTTGTTGAGTTTTGAAATTGTAGGTACTATCCACTAAAGAAGAATTAAAGGCTGGCTACAAAACAAACAGACCATCTCCACGCGCCTTCACACGAAGCGCTATAAATTCGAGAATAATCGACGAATCCGCTCCAAATAACCATCGGCTAATCTGCAGGTAACGTGTGCTCCTGCTTCTAGCTCGCTTGCTCCGCAAAACCCATCGCAACTGCACAATAATTGCTCGCTCATCAACAACCACTGTTGACCTTTACGCTTCGATATGACCACAAACGACCAGGTTTAATACGCGACGTGAATATTCAAGCTTAGCGACCGCGTTCGCGCAACAACGCAGCACTTGCTATGGGAGGGATGGTACTATTGCTTCCAGGTCAATCAATCGCGAAAATAATATTGAAGCCCTTGTAATTTTTAAAAAGATCCAATTTGCCCAAGGAGCACCGAACAGATACGAATCCTATAGCGGAGCTAAAAAAATGAGCGGCAGTGGAAAAAGTGAACAAGAACATGTACCACATTTTCTCCATAAAAAGTGAAAACCGGAAAGTTTTCTGGACGTTTCACGTTGCAGTCATGCAAATCAACGGCAAGGAAATGTACAAAAAAGTGTGCTGCAATTAGACCTATTGTTGTTTTTCACAGTTCTGGTCAAGGGCATCCAACTTTTAATTTTTCACATTTCACTCACCAGGTTAGGCTATTTTTCGTAGAGAGTAAAATGGAATCCTAAAATTTTCGGATTCAAAAATGTGATGAAAGAAGGTATCTGAAAAATTATCTCCTTCGTAATACGTTAAATTGCATCTAAAATTTTCGGGAAAATAATTCTGAATTCCTCGTAATTTCGAAAAGACTCAAGTTCCTCAAGAATGGCCGAACACTGAGATGCAAATTTTATTGCGCCACTTAGAATGCATTTCTATAGAGCTAAAAGTACTTTAGGAATAGCTACAGAAGTGTTTTCAATTGAAAGTATTTGAGGAAACAGTCGTTGAGTGGCCCTGTCTCGTTGCCTTCTCCAGTTAGCATTACACGATATATTTTATATTTAGTATGAGCAAACTATAAATCATTAGCTTCGGTTTTAGCCCTCCTGACTAAATTTATGTAAGCGCTGTTAAGAATGAATTTTTCGATTAAAAGTACTCTGGACAGCCTTAAATGTATTTCCAATGCATTTAGGGGGAAATCATCGTTGGGTGCCCCTGAGTTTTGAGAATAATAGTAATAATAAAAAAAGATATCGCGCACATAAATTTTACTTTACGATATCTTCAGCTGTATCTTCTATTCAGCTGCATAGCGGGGGCCAGATTTTGCCTTTTTCCACACCTCCCTTTTTCCTGGGCGGAAAATTCTCGTCCTCCTTCACCAGTTTGGACAACATATAATGGAGTAAGACGTTGTTAATCTAAGCAAATAAGTCTGGTAGAGTCAAGAACCTATGCAAGCGGCTGGACGAACAATGTGACAGCAGCTGAGACAGCGAACGCTAGAAGAATTCAAACTTGAAAACTGTTCAAAACTTACGGACGGTCCCGCGATCGCCTTTTGTTTTCTGGTCAAAACTAAACGCAGCGAACCTTCGGTCAGTTGACCTAAAAGCAATAGTACCATCCCTCCCATAGCAAGTGCTGCATTGTTGCGCGAACGCGGTCGCTAAGCTTGAATATTCACGTCGCGTATTAAACCTGGTCGTTTGCGGTCATATCGAAGCGTAAAGGTCAACAGTGGTTGTTGATGAGCGAGCAATTATTGTGCAGTTGTGATGCGTTTTGTGGAGCAAGCGAGCTAGAAGCAGGAGCACACGTTACCTGCAGATTAGCCGATGGTTATTTGGAGCGGATTCGTCGATTATTCTCGAATTTATAGCGCTTCGTGTGAAGGCGCGTGGAGATGGTCTGTTTGTTTTGTAGCCAGCCTTTAATTCTTCTTTAGTGGATAGTACCTACAATTTCAAAACTCAACAAAATGCGTAGTTACTAAAACATGGAACGACCTAAAACCACCTAAAACCACCTACAACCATCTACAACCACCTACAACCACCTCAAAAAATTCAACAACCACCTACAACCATCTAAAACCACCTCAAAAAAATCTACAACCACTCGGAAACAATCTAAAACCATCTAAAACAAGGTATAAATGTCTCAAATAAGGCGAGACGACAACATGTCACGTACATGGAATACGAGAATCGAACAAAACATCCACCTCCCCCTAAAATCTTACTCTCCCTGGTCCCCTGTTCCCTTGTATCATCAACCATTAAGCTTAACACAAAACTTCCACCGCACTGTCCTCTTATGTTGGGAGGGCTGGAATATAAGTTTGATTTTGTTTCCTCTCTCTTGTGAAACTCATCGACAATTTGATTATAATTTAAGCAACAACTGATGGTTTGTGATTTTTAATTGTTTTAAAATCATGTTTCAAATGTCACAGTACCAGTGATTACATATGGTGCGAAATCTGGAATATGTCTGGAAAATTTCATTTAGAATCTCAGCAGGAGCAAAACGTGATCATGAGTCACCATTGCATACGTGTCACCATTCGTACAACACGATGGCGTTCTTGCGAAAGGACGATCCCGAAGGTACGTACAGTTCCTTTAAAATATTTCTAATGCAGACCATTCTTATTCATACTTTTTCTAGACTGCTTGCATTCCGCCTTTTCCCTTAAAATCCGTCTAGTTCTTATCTCCGCCAGCCCGATTGAAAGCCACGACGTTATATAATAACTAATGTGACTGTTTTTTTTTAGCCATAGTGATACTCACTCTCTCGCATTTCATTTCGTGACTTAAGCCAAAGGTTGATGATACAAGGGACCAGGGAGAGTAAGATTTTGGGGGGGAGGTGGATGTTTTGTTCGATTCTCGTATTTCATGTACGTGACATGTTGTCGTCTCGCCTTATTTGAGACATTTATACCCCGTTTTAGATGGTTTTAGATTGTTTGCGAGTGGTTGTAGATTTTTTTGAGGTGGTTGTAGATGGTTGTAGCTGGTTGTTGAATTTTTTGAGGTGGTTGTAGGTGGTTGTAGGTGGTTTTAGGTCGTTCCATGTTTTAGTGACTACGCAACAAAATGCCACTTAAACCGGCCAGGAAGGACATAGCCTGCGAAAACATCCGTTTCTCCTCGCTCTTCGTCGATGGGGACGTTTCGCGCGGAGGAACGTCTGCGACTCAGCGACAGAAATTCCATACTGATGACGTAAAATCTGTCCGGAATCCGGTCAGAAGCGCTGATTGGTCGATGGAGTAGTTACATTGTTTTAGCCATTGTTTAGGAATGACAGACAAAAGACAAAAGGCCGCAAAGGTCAAATGTAAAAGCGAAGAATCTCTAACAAAACAGTTAATATTTGTGGAATATAGTCTTCTCTAGAGGAAGCATTTGAGTTTTGCGGGAGCTCGTTGGCAGATGAACACACCACTTTGCCAAAATCGACCAGAAGACACGTAAAATTGGTCAAATTTATATTTTGTACCCCATGACTACTCGATTTATTATGTAAACATTGGTTTGCGTCATCAGTATGGAATTTCTGCCGCTGAGTCGCAGACGTTCCTCCTCGCGAAACGTCCCCGGCGGCGAAGAGCGAGGAGAAACGGATGTTTTCGTAGGCTAGGAAGGACAAGTATACGTTCAGTTGAAGGTGTCTTAGCTTTGTTTTGTTATATTTTGACTTTTAGACTATTTTAGTCCATGGGAGTTTCGACGACTCATTGCATTAATTTGTCCATGTGGATATTAATATATTCATTCAGTGACACATACTACGTCTGGGCCGCCTGTGCCAAATCCTTGCCGCTTTAACTCGACAACTGCCGCCTCATAAACTTGATTTGATTTGGAAAACTCGCCGTCATTAATGATGTCAAAATCTTTTTTCAGTAGAAAGTGCCTTTGCAGACCAAATCGTAGTCCCATCAAGGCAGTCTTTTTGTAATTTTCTCCATTCTTTTTCCGGGCATTCGGCAAGAAATTCGTTAGAAGTTCATTCAGTTCGTTCTTCGACATTTTCTCCAGGGACTCTGTGTTTTTCACGGGTTCTTCAGGCGTAACTTCATTACAGAATGCTAGAAAAGTAGCAACGGCATTTTTAGTCGCTCTCCTTGTATTTTCGGAATCCTTGGCCTCAACCAGTTGCTGTATCTCTTCATTTGTGAGCTGTTTGAATCGTTTTCTTACAGGTTCAGGCTCCATATTTTTTGTTTTGCTGCGTTCATTCACAAAAGTTAAAATTCCCGCTTTCAATCACGCCACTTTGCACCATGCTTTGATCACGTGCTGTAATGTATCCCGAGCGGGGTACATTGCGTGATGTATCACGATCGGGATACATTTGATTTTAGTCAAGGCCACGTGACCAGGAATCAACCAATAACAGCCCCTGTTTAGTTGAGTGAAAGTCTAGGAATATAACAATGCTTATTATTATTGGCCTTACTTATCCTCCCACCATCTATTTCAAGTTTATTTCAAAGTACGACAGCATATTTTATTACAAAGTCCCGGATGGTCTGTCATTACAAAGTGCGACAGCTTTTTTATTATAAAGTGCGACAATTTTATTGCAAAGTGCGATAGGTATTACAAAGTGCAACAGAACATTCCACAAGCGAAAATTTCCAGGATTCCGGAATACGGAGTTCAGTCTTTGCATGGGGCGAATATTTGGACGTATACGTTCCACGGATCTTGGATGTAAAAAACAACAACAATAACAAAAACAAGACAAACCAATAAAAACCAAACAAAACAAAACAATAGAAAAAAAGCCGAACCTATCTGCACACGCGCCGTAACAATAGGTGACTCGTCATTCGCCAATCTCGACTCCAAACTCTTCTGCGCATGACTGCGAGGGAAAGAGTCAGAAGCGTAAGCACTGGGGTCGAGAGAAGTCATGCTCGCGCGACGTGATTCAGGGTTACAGTTTTGACCAGTCTTTCACAAAAGCTGGTAAGCTAAAGCTTATTGAAGGCATTCGCTTTTACTAAATTATCCCTGAGTCGTCGTTTGATTATAAATTTGGTGAATTAATTTCTAGCTGTCGTTTGATTGTAAGTTTTGTGAATTTATACCTGTACTATTCAAGTTGTGGCTGCAGTATACTAGTACATCCACTGTCGTCGGTGCTAAATGAATTTTAAACTTGAATCTTGAATTTTTTTGTCTATTTCCAGTCCTTGTTCGCAGAATCATCACTAATTGTGAATGCCTGAAAACTCTGACCAGAGGAATAGGTAAGCTATTGTTGTTATCCTTACATCAATTAACTTGAAAACGTTCATACCTTAATCCCAATCGGCCGGCTACTATTTAGTTGGTCAGAATATTCAGTTAGCTAGTATGTACGAGGATATCCCGCTGTTTTGATAATTCAGTGCATCTTTCGCAGGGGTTCCCAACGTTTGAATGTTCCCAATACGCCCTAATTGTCTCAGATGGTTTTCTCTATGCTTTAGAGGCCTGTTTGGTCAATTTAGAGTTGTCCTAAAAACTATTTATCTGTTCGGATGTCTTAGCGGAACTTTGGTCGTCACGAAAGTTTTAGGTGGCTTTTTCGTCTCATCCGAGAGTGTCAGCTACCTTCATTGGTGCAGGCGAAAGTTCGTTCTTCCTATTGCGATACTTCTTGATTTTGTCTTTAGGCTTTGTTTTTTTCAATCTGACCGACCGATCCAATACCAGGAAACGCATTCGACGCTAAACGAAAAAAAAATAGGGGGGATGGCTTAATCGAAATATCTTGATATTAAAATGTGAAAACACAAGCTTCAGAAATCGTAGTTGAACTATAAGAAAACCTCCAAATATTTTAGGCGAATGGAACGGTTATCCAGAAATTTTTAGCCTTTCTGAAGCCTTAGAAATTTCTAGGCAATATTTGCCCCCTCGAACAGATACTTTTCAGAATATAGTCGCTGGGTGCCCTGCCTTTGGTCAGCTAGTAATATACAGTTAAACGATTTTACATCGAAGGTTTTAAAATTTTAAAGTTTTGCAATTCAAAGCGAGTTTAAATTGGAACTTTTTGCAGGCTGCATAAGTCAATAAATAAAGAAAGGCTCAGGGAATTAAATATTTTGGGCCCTTGTAAACGAAGTGAAAATTCCCTTACATTTGCCCTGCAGTAGGGCAAACGGAAGGAATTCTTACTTCTAGTGTTATATGAATGCACGTCACAGTTATGGAGGTGTTTATGGTGAGCATTAATTTGGTGAGCATTAATTTGGAAAAAATTAGCATAACGTCAAAGTGTCAGACGTCAGTGAAGCGACAAACGTCAGTGAATGTTGTAACGTGGATTTTTGGTCGGTTCGTAGGCTAGATTCATCATGAAATTTCATGAGGTGTTTCGGTGAATCAATCTCAATGAAAGCTTTAGATATTATTATATACATGATGAAGATTATGTGTTAAGGTTTAAAAAGAATTCTGTCGAGCCGTTTTAGAGATATACAGAAAAGCGCTCAAAGTCAAAATTTCGAATAAAGTTGCACTTAGACCGGTGGTAAGAAAACAGGTTAGTTTTCAGGATTCCAAGAAAGAAAATGCACCATAATTTTCCTAGCATCGAAATATGATGTTAGGAACCGATCGTTTATTACGTCCCAGAGGAGGCGAGGGTTTTAGCCCCCCTAAAAAAAACTTACACATGAAAATTTTATCCCCCTTGGCAATAACAATTTTTAACATAGGCACGTTAAACGTGCATGAGCTATTTTGAATGCTTCAGTGTAACTTTGATGCTTCAGTGTAACCTTACCAAGAGTGATGAATCTACCTTTTTCGTCCTAAATGTAGACTGAGTTGTTGTGCGAAATTTGATATTGCCGTACATAAATGAGAACGCGAAACGCTCAGCTGCGTCGATCCTCATGCTATATATTCACTTTCCTCTGTCTTTCCCTGTTACATCTGGTGCAAGTTAAACAAATTATTAAAGTAAAATAAATATCTACTCACTAAACGTTGATTAGGAGGAAAACTCTAAGGTTTCCTCGAAGTTTCTTAAACCAAAATGTGACTCATCGAATTCGAGTATTTAAGAAATATCAGGATCCTTATCATTGCGGTAGATGGTTGCATCATCCCAATTCACGAGGTTTTCACGTGCGATTCTACTCAGTGAAACAGTCCTTAACTGCGATAACTTATTTCTTCATGTTTTAAAAGCTATTGCTTCTTAAAAGACAAGAGCCTTTTTTAAGGCATTGGTTACAAAAACGAAACATCTTCATACGTTCAAGTTACTATTATTATTGTGAAAAGCCAATCTGCATGAGATGTACAGTCACACAACTGGCACGTGACAGTGTTGGACTTTGCCCCCTTTCGTGGTTCGTACGTGAGGGAATTCGAGTTATCACACGGTAATCTAGTAAACAGAATTATAAAAATAACTCATGCACACAATTTGCACGTGAAGATGTTGGCCTTTGGCCCTTTTACAATTCGTACGTAAAAAAAAAAGCAAATTGTTTACTACAAAATTTTCTCAAACGATTTTAAGAAATCACCTCGGCTTTATTACAACATCTGCAATTAAATTATGTTTCACGCAACGTCAAGGTTGATAGCCTAACATTTATTAACTTCCAAGAAAATTATCAAACTGTCGAAATATATTTCTGCTCATATCATGTTACTCCACTCAATAAAACAGTATCTAATTATTGTGTCAACTAGCTTCTTCCAATTTTATTCCCTAACGCTACTGTTTTTACTTTAGTTACTCATCTTTACTAAATGAAATACGTTTCAATAACTGTAATGCTTAGTATGCAGGAAGGATGTATCATGTTGTTCACTTTTTATTTTGTTGTTGTTGTTGTTTTGCCCGAACGAAAAAGGTCTGTTGAACTTTGTAAGCGAGAGAATAATATTTTTACAGCTTGTTTTCAGAATTAACAATACTCGATACAGCTTTAAAAAAAATAAGCTGCCTTTCAAACTTATAAAACCACATTTTATAGGCCGCATACTTTCAAATTAATGTCCATATCTAAATATCAATTATTACTTCACTGGAAGAGCTTTGAAAATATATGATCTTTTATGCTCTACCTTGAAGCAGGTGAAACACAACTCATAAATACGTGCGTCAGTACCTTTCGCGATAGCCGAATTCGGTCAGAAATGTCTTGAAATAGCATCCACACTAAAATATGAACCCTTAAACAGCTGCATCACTGTACACAGCGTTTGAGTCATGAAGATATTTAATATAATGTTTCCAAACACCTGTAACCGTAATAAAAGACGAAAAAATTGTCAGGAATCAAGATGGCGGTCTCAAAGTGCCCTTGTTCGACCTTTAGCAATGTCATGTTTAAGTAGATGCCAAGATCTCATTGGTTCCTAAGCATCAACTCATAGTACCTTCAACCTTATTGGCTCTTGCAACAAACATCCGAACATACAAAGTTACAAAGATACAAAGTTACAAAGATACAAAGCCACAAAGATACATACGCTCACACCACTGACATATGAGCTATTTTTTCAAAATAGCTCAAAAATGCACCACACCCCTCCCCCCCCCCCCCTCCCCAATATAGACCAATTCTCTTCATTGATTTCATGGTATAAGATTATAAGATACCGGAAGTCAGCAGCGTAGAGTGAGATTTTAAGGTGGCTCGATACAGTTTTTCAGGGTCAACACCTCCCAAGTTTGAGCATAAACTACGTCGCTATAAACAAAGTTTTGGAAAAATTGCCACCACAGTTGTATTAGATGAAGATGAAAATTTGTTTTGATCAGGGTTGCAACGGCATCAGAGTTGTCATAGCAACGAAATGACGCTATTACCTATTTTACTTGCAGCAGTATATCTCGGCACTGGGAACTGTTCTTCGAAAATCATTCACGGGAGCTTTTTCCTCCAATAGCAGCCTCGATGTTCGTGAAGTTTAAGCGAAATCTGTAAGAGCGTTATCGAAATATTTTGGGATAAAGATTTTGTGGTTAGAAATACGGTAAAAAATGGACAATCTTGGTGTTCGGCTATTATCTGTAGAAAACGAAGCGCTTTTGCCACACAATTTCACCTTATAGTAGTTTCAATCTTTTTAAAAACGCGTGTGAAGGACAAGGAGATAGCTCCAGCCGATTGCTAGAAAGTAGGATTTGATTTGTAGGTATCGAGGCGCTCTTGTTAGCGGTTTTTTGAACATTTTGGTCTTCTTTAACA